TCTTCTGGCATCCATTGTTTCCGATGAGAAATCAGCTGTTAGTCTCGCTGGGCAGCCCTTGTGTGTGACGAGCTGTTTTTCTTGCGTGTATGTTGGTGTGCTTAGCCGTGCGCCACGTCTCTCCAAGGCTGTGTTCACTGTCTTCATTCCTTATGCCCTCTGCTCTTTGGACTGCAGAATCTCTATCAGTCCATCCTCAAGTCATTGATTCTTTCTTCTTCTAGTTAAAAATCTACCACTGAGTCCCTCCAGTGAATGTTTCATTTCATTTATTGTATGTTTCAACTCTGGAATTTCCACTGGGTTGTTTTCATAATTTCTGTTTTTTTATTACTATTCTCTATTTGATGAGACATCAGCATTATACCGTCCTTGACTTTGTTTATTTATTTATTTAATTTTTAAAAAATTTTTTATTAAATATTTATTCTTTTTTTTCCCTACACCTTGCATTTTTTAGAAGACACACCGTCCTTGACTTTGTAAAGCATGGTTTCCATAAGTTCTCCAAACACAGGTAAAATAACTGCTAAGTCCAGTATTTGGGCAGTGATGCCCTGGGGACATAAATCGCTCCATTGTCTTTTGGCTAGGGGTCATTTTTGTTGTATTTTTAAAAATTTATTAAATTTTACTGATTCATAACTGGCTATTCATCCAAAGGAAAGGAAATCAGTATATCAAAGGGATACTTGCACTTGTGTGTATATCACAGCACTGTTCACAGTAGCCAAGATATGGAGCCAACTTAAATGTCCGCCAGTGGACGAATGGATAAAGAGAATGTGGTGCATGTACACAATGGAACAGTATTCAGCCATTACAAAGGATGAAATCCTGTCATTTGCAGCACCTTGGGTGGATCTGGGGGTCGTTATGTTCAGTGAGATAAGCCAGGCACAAGCGTTATTTTGATGACAGTCTTTGAAGTCTGTCTGACCCCAGGAGGCTCTTCTTAGCTGTCTCTTTCTGTGGTTCTCTCTGGTGGACTAGCTGGCTCGTGGTTCAGCTTGCTGGTGAGAGGAGCAATTATTGTCAATAGCGCCCTTAGGCCTGGATTTTCCCATGCTCTGTTTCGAATAGGCAGTCTCTGTGGGGAAAGCTTTGGAACCATTCCTCTGTTCTTATGAATTTCCTTTCCCTTTTGGCAAAACCTCTGAGCCAGTTCTCAGGGCAGTGGCAGCCTCTGGTCTTCTTGGTTTGCTTCAGACACCTGACATATATTTTCTATGATGCCACAGGTTTCAAACTGTGTCAGTGACCCACAGCAGGGTGTCTGGCTGTGGGCTTTCTACTGAGGCTTGGTGGTGTGCAGACTTGGTTCTCAGTATGATTCAGTGAGTTTGCCTCTGAGTCCACCCATTAAAGGTCATTTGATCCTTTAAAAAACACGTCACAAAATGCTCTGTTATGAGGAGGCAAAAGATCACATTTATGAGCCTGTGGGTGTGGCCTTTTCCATAACTGGCTTGATAGCTGGTTTGGCTCCCAGTGTGGTGTTTGTGTTGCCCCTGAGTTGCCGGCCAGTGTTTTGTCTAAAGTGAACCTATCTGCGAGCCTGTCAGTGTGGCACGGTGGGCCTTGGGCCTTGCTCAGATTCACTGTAGAATGAAAGGATTCCCAAGTTTGGTTCATGCTGGGGTTGCTAAGGAAAAATGGTTGGTAAGCCATCAAACTGTCTCAAATTAAAGACACACACACACACACACACACACACACACACACACACATACACGTGCCCCTGTTTGAGCGGGAGCCAGGAACGGTTGACTTCCCCATGGAAGGGGCAGGGCTCGGTGTTATTTGAAGCCCAGGTCCCCTGGCTGGTGACGGAACCACCCTCTGCTGGCTGGGCCCGAGTGCTATCTTAGGAACAAAGCTGGCATCTAAGATTTGGCTTTCTTTGGCTCAGGTAGGATTTTAAAACGAAGCAAAGGCTTTTCCTACACACTTGGGATAACCTCGAGATACAGCCCGTAGGACCACAGCCAGAAACCACCAAGGGGATTTTAAAAGGCACCAATACTTCAAAACCAAGCCGTCGCCGACACCCTCTGCTGAGACGGTATGCAGTTGGCGCAAGGGAGAAAGTGCTCCCTGAAGCAAAGGGCCACTTCCTTGGGAAAGTCTTGTCCTGGGGGACTGGGTTTCCCAACACTCCAGCCCTTGGCTCACACATCTCTGTCCCCGGATCTGCTGTCTGTCTTTTCCTTCACATGAAAGCTTTGCAGAGTTCTGACCACAGAACCACCTTGGCAAAGACAATTTCATTTTTCTTCTAAAGCTCAGCCAGAATCCGAAGAGCCAGACCTGAGCGTGTGCACGGCCCGGCCCGTTTTGCGAAGTCCTGCTGTCTTGCAACTGATCATCTCAGCGACCAGCTCTTCCCTTCCCCCCAACTCTCTTTATTGTATTAAAATACACAGAACATAGAATTGACCATTTTTCAATGTACAGTTCAGTGACATTCAGTACAGTCACATTGCTGTGCCGCCATCACCACCATCCATCTCCAGAACTTTTTCATCTTTTCTTTTCTTTCTTTCTCTCCTTCCTTCCTTTCTTCTTTTGTTTTTTTTTGTAGAGTCAGGGTCTTGCTCTGTCGCCTGGGCTAGAGTGCAGTAAGCACAGTCATAGCTCACAGCAATCTCAAACTCCTGGCCTCAAGCGATCCTCCTGCCTCAGCCTCCCAAGTAGTTGGGACTCCGGGTGAGCCACCACACCTGGTTAATTTTTGGTTTTTGCAGTGTGGAGATAGGGTCTCACTATGTTGCCCAGGCTGGTCTCAAACTCCTGGCCTCAAACAATTCTCCTGTCTCAGCCTCTCAAGTTGCCAGGATTAAGTCATGAGCCTCTGTACCTGCCTTGGGCTGTTCCCCCGCCCCCCCAATAATCCTAAGTTATTCGCAAAAGAGGTGTTTTATTTTAAATAATCATTTTATTTTCCTGCCTTGATAAAGCTGGGGGAGGAGGGAGGAAAATAAAATGACGTGGAGTTAACTTAAGTGTCTGTCGATGGATAAATGGATAAAGAAAATGTGGTATAAACACCAAAAACTAGTAAGATTTAGCCGTCGAAAGGAGCGATATTCTGTCATTCGCAGCAACATGGATGAACGAAATAAGCCAGGCCTGGAGAGACAAGAGCCTCCCGACTCACTCACGGCTGGAACCTGGAAAAGTTGCCTGCATGGCAGGAGAGTAGCGTGGTGGCCGCCAGAGGCTGGGGGTGCGGGTGGGGAGATGTCCTCCCGGGGTGCGTTTGTTCCGCATCGAATCTCTGACGGTAGGGGCCGTTGGTGTGAGGGTGGTGCCAGTGAGGGGCAGGCACCGGGGCACAGGGTCTCCAGACTGGCAGATGACTCTGGGCTCAGGCGGAACAATGGACGATGGCATCCCGCGTCCCCTCTGCGAGGCTCGAGAGGGGGATGTTGAATGTCCAGTGGGACGAGGAAAGAGGGTGAGAGACATCGTGTTTCAGAGACATCTTGTTCACTACGCATGTGGGCCAGCCCTCCAGGCAGGGGGACAGGGAGGGGGTAGGAGTCACAGCACAGAGGAGGACAGAGGGAGGTTTGGTCAGAGGCATGGCTGTGGGCTCAATTCTTCCAGGAGGGCATGTAGGGCGCTGGCAAGGTGTACATGAATACACACATGTATACACACGTGCACACACATAGGACATGCAGACGCGCCTCTGCACCCCTGCAGCTCCCCAGGGCCATGTTCCCGGGCAGTGGGCTCTCCTTCCCTTCTCACTGGTGCGATGGACTGAATGTGTCCCTCCGATTCACATGTCAAAGCCCTCCCCCCCAAGGTGATGGCATTAGCAGGTGGGGCCTTTGGGAGGGTGGTCAGGTCAGGGGATAGGACCCCATGTGGGATTGGTGTCTTTATTGGAGACCCCTGAGAGACCCTCGCCCTCTTTCTTTCCACTGTGTGAGGACATGAGATGTTGGCTGTCACTTGGAAGAGAGTGTCACCAGAGGCTGGGAACCAGACAGGACCCATGTCCCTGGCGCTGTCGCGGGGATGGGGCTGAAGCATGGAGGCAAAGAGCAGGTCTCCCCCGAATCCTGGGGTCCCCTCTACTCCAACCACGTGAGCTGTCCTCCGTGCCTGGCTCCAGCCCCTCTTCCTGGCTGGCCCTTTCTCTGGCTTCCTTGGTGCTGGCAGCTGGAGTTGGCTCGGCGACACACCTGAGGGCAGGGGTCCCCCAGGGCATGAGGTACAGGGGCCCTGCCCTGGCTCCCCACACCCTCAGCTGTGCCTCCTCCTTCAGACCTGGGCCTCTGAGGGCTGGGGCCTGGCGCTCCCTGGTGAAGCCTGTCTTCCCCGGGTGGGGCCTGCCCCGCCTCTGGCAGCTGGGTTCTCAGGGGACCCCCAACTCCCACGTAAAGATGCGTCACAGACACGGTTGGCGTGTGCGCTGCAAGGAGGGGCCGGGGTGTGCGGTGACAACAGGAGGAGGAACCCACTGTCACAGGTGGGTGGACCAGGGGCCTGTGCACAGCTCCTGCCCGTCCCCTTCCACTGCCGGACCCTGGGATGCCCAGGTGCAGGGCCTTGCGGGAGGGGTCCTGGGTCCCCCTTGGGGTGGTCTTAGGTCACCTTGAAGGTGGTCCTGGGTCCCCCTTGGTGTAGTTTTGCGTCCTCCTCATTGGGGTGGTCCTAAGTCCTCCTTGGGGTGGTCCTAGGTCCCCCTTGGGGATGGTCCCAGGTGCCCAGCCCCTTCCTGCCCTGCATCCAGAATGCTGATCTGGGGAGGTTGCCAGGCCATTGTGCCCCCCAGCCCGTGTCATTGCTGGAGGACACAGACATCCTCCTGGCCCTGGCTGTGGCCCCAAGCATCTGCCCTTTGCTCCTCTTGGGGCTGAGGGTGAAACCGAATCCTGGGACAGTGACACCCGGGCTATTTTGGAGCTGGGCTGGGCCGGCCCGGCTGGCGGTGGGGGTGGGGTGGGGGCGGGCCCAGCCTTCTCCAGCTGACAGCATCCGCCTGTCCTTTCGTCCCCGTCCAGTCTGAGGACTGGCCAGAGTGCGGGCTGCTGGGGGCAAACCCTGTCGGTCCTGGGCCCTCGGAGGGAGGCGAGACCCAGCAGCCCCTGACCCCCCGCCTGGGCACCGCCCGGAGCCCACAGAGAGACAGGTGAGGAGGCAGAAAACCCGGCAGGGCGGGGGCGTCCTGTTGCCCTGGAGGACGGCTCTGCTGAAGGTCAGGAGCAGAGGGACCTTCAGAGTCTGGCCAGACTGGGCATCTCCCCATGGTGGGGCTCGGGCTGCAGCCTCTGCGCCATTGGTGACCCCGAGCCGGGCCCTTGAGTGGGGAAGGTGCCGCCCGCCTGGCTGGGGGCTGGAGGGGCACTGGGGCCTGTGCCCGGGCGTGCACACCCGCCGCCCCCCGGGCTGACCCCCGCTCGAACGCGGCCCAGGGGTCCGGCAGCCCTGCCCCCAGCTCTGCTGAGATGGACGCCCGCTGACAGCTGGGGCTATTTTGGGCCTGTTGGCTCAGCACTGGGGACAGCCAGAGGGGCACTGACACCTGACTCCAGGAAAGAATTTCCCCTGCAGCGGGAAGCCCACGGGCCCCGGGGGTCTAAGGTGAGGTCCAGGCAGCCTTGGGGAGCTGTCCTTGGAGGTCAGTTCTGGAAGGGCATGGGTGCGTGGGTGCCACTGGCCTCCGTGTTGTTATGGGAGAGATGGGGGGTGGCTGAGAACCTGCTGGCCTCACCCCAAGAAAGGGCTACTGCTCTGAGCTCACCCTGAGAAAGTTCCTGGGACCCTGGAGGACCAGAGAGTGGCACAGTTCTGTAAAGTTAGGGTGCAGGGGCCATGAAGGGGGCTCCCGGGGGCGTCTCCCCAGGTACATGTGTCCTGAGCCCCCACTGGAGGGAGGGAGGGGCTTCCCATCCTGAGCAGGCGCCCGGGGTGGCCACGGGGCTGCACGTCCGGCAGCCCCCAGCCCCGAATGTGGCAGGGACAGGGGGCCTCTGCAGATGTCCCCGTGCAGGGGTGGATTTCCCAGGAGCCCCAGAGGTAGCCTTGAGTGGGTCCCCCCAGCGTGGCCTCTGTTTCCCCATCTGTGATATGGGCCACCAAGCAAGGAGGACGGCTTCCCAGTCCTCTCTGGCCTCAGGCCTGCTGACCGGTGGGGATGGCCACCTGACAGGGCTGCCATGAGCCTCCCCCGACCTGTGGTCTGCTTTGGGGGCCTGCCACCACATGGTAGCTTGCAGGCGGCGGAATGCAGGCCCTGGGCCCGAGACACCGTCCCTGATGGCCTCCAGAGTCTCCACCCAGTCTTGCCCGGCCAGAGCAGCCTGGGCACCTTTGCCCAGGGCTAGGAGCTCCCTACCCGTCCCAGGCCTCCTGGTGCAGAGGGGCTGCCGGCCCATGCTGCCTCATGTGTCATTCCCCCGTCACCCTGGCCGGGCCTGTTGGAGGTGGGTGGGGGGGACAGCATGCCCCATTCTGCTTTGGGGAACCCATGGCCCGACTGCATGACGTGGGGGAGTGATGAGAACCCAGAGCGCAGGGCGCCTGGAGAGCGGATGTCAAAGTAGCCCATCGAGGCCTGGGAGGTGCTCATGGAGGCAGATTCCAGAAGGGGCTAAAGTCAGTCCCAATCCCCACCGTGGGCGGCCCCCACCCAGGTCCTCTGCAGCCCGAGAACCCTGCTGTGGGTGGGGGGTGGCCAGGCGAGATGCTGACTGCACAGTGAGTCAGCAGACTGGCACCCGCTGTGCGCGGCCCGGCCCTGCCCCGGGCTCCGGCTCCACGAGGGGATTAAGGTGGATTAACTACCTGAATCACAGGACTGGGAGTTGGAGGGCCCCGGGAACATGGGCCGACGCAGCCCACAGTGGGCAGCCCGGGCCCAGCCGCTGGAGGCTCCAGCCCGAGGGAGGGTGTGGCAAGGTGCCCCGTAGGGTAGGCATGTCTGCCGGGGTGGAGACGGTCAAAGCACGTCATGCCTGTGGGGTCCACTCACACCCCGTTCCTACAGAAGAGCCACAGCAGGCTCACCTCACCCACCTGTGCTGGGGCTGGCCGGCTGGGGCTCAGCCCAGGGTGGGCAAAGCCCAGCGTCACCAGCAGGCTTTGGAGCTGATGGAAGACCCAGGGCCTGCAGCGCGCCCCGCTGGCCAGCAGCTGAGAGCTGTGGCGTGACCAGGTTACCTGCGGCACCCCCACGAGGCTGGGTCTGGCTGGCCCCAGCCCAGCTGCTCTCAGCCCGGAAGTCCCTGGCTCTCCCAGGGGATGTCACTGGCATTGCCAGCTCCATGCTATGGGGATCTTCCGTCTGTCCTCCCCAGCCAGGCTACTGACGGGCACTGCCCTGTCCCTCCCTGCTGTGACCCTGCGGAGGGGGCGTGGGCGTGGGGGCGCCCGGTGGTTTCCATTCTTTCCCTGCTCACTGGGGGCGCCCTGTAGGAGAGGCAGGTCCGCTCTGGCCCAGGGCGCTGCAGGCAGGTCAGGCCCCCAGGTGGAGCCTGGTGGAACAGTCAGAGGAGACAGGGACAGGTGCCCAGGCCTGGTGGCTCAGCGAGCCTTCCCCTCTCCGTGTGGGGCACATAGGCCAACTGGAGGTTTAAACCCAGGGTGCCGGCGGTGTGTGTCAGGCAGGAGGCAGGAGACGCACGGGGGACAGAGTGGCCCGCAGGGCACCAGGCGGGCTGCGTAGAGAGCGCAGCAAAGGCGCCAGTCCCGCCTGCCTGCGGGGGGCGCTAGCACGCTCCCAGCTGCGGAGAGGGGGGATGCCCCTGCCAGTTAGAAGACAGGCTTGTTGTGGGGCTGCCGTAGCCTAAGTGCCCAGAAGGGGGCCGAGCCCGGGAGATGGGCCGGGATGGGATGGAAGGACCGGTGGAGGTGTCCGCCTGGCTTAAACTAGGCTCTCCAGGCGGCACTGATGAGCGGAGGGGCTGGGTGGGACGCAGGCGAGGTGCTCCAGGGAATCCAGGGCTCATGCCCCTCCCCACTTCAGCCTCCCCCACCCCTCGCAGGTTCCCGCCACCGCCGCCATGGACCCCTCCTCCTTCAGCGGCGCGCCCCGCTTCCTCACCCGGCCCAAGGCCTTTGTAGTGTCGGTGGGCAAGGACGCCACGCTCAGCTGCCAGATCGTGGGCAACCCGACGCCGCAGGTGAGCTGGGAGAAGGACCAGCAGCCGGTGGAGGCGGGCGCGCGCTACCGCCTGGCCCAGGACGGCGACCTGTACCGCCTCACCATCCTGGACCTGGCGCTTGGCGACAGCGGGCAGTATGTGTGCCGCGCGCGCAACGCCATCGGGGAGGCCTTCGCGGCCGTGGGTCTGCAGGTGGACTCCGAGGCCGCGTGCGCGGAGCAGGCCCCGCACTTCCTGCTGCGCCCCACGTCCATCCGCGTGCGCGAGGGCTCGGAGGCCACATTCCGCTGCCGCGTGGGAGGCTCCCCGAAGCCAGCCGTGAGCTGGTCCAAGGACGGGCTGAGCCTGGGTGAGACCGACGGCCCCCGCGTGCGCGTGGAGGAGCATGGCGAGGCCAGCGCACTGCGCATCCGGGCGGCCCGGCTGCGCGACGGCGGCACCTACGAGGTGCGCGCCGAGAATCCGCTGGGCGCTGCCAGCGCCGCTGCTGCCCTCGTGGTGGACCCCAACGCCGACACGGACAGCCCGCCAGGGACCTCCACGGCCGCGCTCCTGGCGCACCTGCAGCGGCGGCGCGAGGTCATGCGCGCAGAGGGCGCCCCGGCCTCGCCGCCCACCAGCGGCACACGCACCTGCACGGTGACCGAGGGCAAGCACGCGCGCCTCAGCTGCTACGTGACGGGCGAGCCCAAGCCCGAGACGGTGTGGAAGAAGGACGGGCAGCTGGTGACCGAGGGCCGGCGCCACGTGGTGTACGAGGATGAACAGGAGAACTTCGTGCTCAAGATCCTCTTCTGCAAGCAGTCAGACCGCGGCCTCTACACCTGCACGGCGTCCAACCTCGTGGGCCAGACCTACAGCTCCGTGCTGGTCGTAGTGCGCGGTGAGCTCTCGGCGGCCGCAGTCCTGGCCTGTGCGGCGGCAGAGGCCTCTTCCCAGCCCCCGCACCCGCGCCCTTTCGCCTGGCTGCCGCCGCCTTCTGTCTCCAGCCCCCGTCCGTCGGGTGGTGGAGTCGGGAGTTGCAGGTGTCCGTGCAGGGTCTGCAGAAGGCGGGCGACTCGGGCGCCTCCTATCGTTGCATTGACTCGCTTTCCCCATCCGGTCCGCCGCCCCGCCCCCACACCCTTAGCCTCCTGCTAACCGCCACTCCTGTCCTTTTCCCAGCAACCTTCGCACACCCACACCTCTCCATTTGTGCAGACCTCGTGCGCCCGCCCCGCCCATCTCCCTCCGCACAGCCCCCATCCTGCACTCCCCACCCCCCACTCCTGCGCCCAGGGCCCTTCCTCCTGTTCCCTCCCATGCCCCCCACCCCCACCTGTCACGCCTGTGTTCTGGGCTCCCGTCCTCGGGCGCCCTCCTCGCCCCTCACCAGCCTCCCCTCCGCAGAGCCCGCGGTGCCCTTCAAGAAGCGGCTGCAGGACCTGGAGGTGCGGGAGAAGGAGTCGGCCACGTTCCTGTGCGAGGTGCCCCAGCCGGCCACGGAGGCCGCGTGGTTCAAGGAGGAGACGCGGCTGTGGTCGAGCGCCAAGTACGGCATCGAGGAGGAGGGCACGGAGCGCCGGCTGACGGTGCGCAACGTCTCGGCTGACGACGACGCGGTGTACATCTGTGAGACCCAGGAGGGCAGCCGCACGGTGGCCGAGCTCGCGGTCCAAGGCAGGCGGGGACGCGCAGGGGAGGGCGGGGCAGGCGGGTGCGCGCAGGAGCGAGCGGGAGGCGGGCGGGCGTCCGTCTGACTGGCCCGGGCTGTCACATCCACCCCAGGTAACCTCCTCCGAAGGCTCCCTCGGAAGACCGCGGTGCGCGTGGGGGACACAGCCATGTTCTGCGTGGAGCTGGCCGTCCCGGAGGGCCCCGTGCGCTGGCTGCGGAACCAGGAGGAGGTGGTGGCGGGTGGCCGCGTGGCCATCACGACGGAGGGCACGCGCCACACGCTGATCATCTCCCAGTGCAGCCTCGAAGACATGGGCGAGGTGGCCTTTGTGGCTGGTGACAGCCGGACATCCACCCAGTTCTGTGTGTCAGGTGAGGGCCGCCTGGGGAGTGTGGTCTTTGGGTAGTGTCTCTTGCCTGCCCACCCTCAGCGCTCTCTGGGTCCAGCCTCCTGCTGGGAGAGCCGTGGGGGGCAGAGAACATGGCCCTGGAACCCTAAGCTTGGCCTCCCGCAGAGGCCCAGGCAGCCTTTCCTCTGCAGCCAGACAAATGGCTCCAGATCCCAGGTAGAGCCCATGAGCTCACAGCCTCCCGGAGGGCCGGTGCTCCAGACCCGGAGCAGCATGCCCCAGCAGGGCTGAGGGCTTCTGTGAAGCCCCCTCTGGGTGATTCCAGACCCAGAGCTCAGAGACGGGGTGCCCTCCTGGTGACCTCATGCCACTCTCCACCCAGCCCCCAGGAAGCCGCCCCTGCACCCACCTGCGGACCCCATGGTGAAGACCAAGACGGAGAGTTCCGTGACCCTTGGCTGGTCCCCACCAGCCTACGGGGACCGCCCGGTCACCGTCGACGGCTATCTGGTAGAGAAGAAGCGGCTTGGCACCTACACCTGGAGTCGCTGCCACGAGGCCGAGTGGGTGGCCACGCCTGAGCTGACCGTGGCTGGTGTGGCTGAGGAGGGGGACTTCCAGTTCCGGGTGTCAGCTATCAACAGCTTTGGCCAGAGTCCCTACCTCGAGTTTCCGGGCACTGTCCACCTGGGTAAGTGTGTCTCCGGGTGACGGCAATCTGGGACGGCTGCTGGCCCGCTGCTCAATCACCCGGGCCCAGCGGTGTGGCTCAGCCTGGACTGAGGCCAGAGTGACCTCATGGAATGTTTTTATGGGAGTTGGGGGCTGCCAGGGTCCTGCCTCTGGTGGAGCCTCCCTGGTTGGGAGAGAGCCCGCTGCCTCCAGCACCCCAGGGCCCAGGATGCAGAGCCACCCCACCCTGGCGGGCGCGTGGGACCCCGGAGGGGATCTCTGGGCAGCTGTCACTTGTCCGTGCTGCTCTGTGGGCCTGCCTTGCGCTCACGGTGGCTGTGCGTGTGGGGGCTGGGCTTCCTGGAGTTGGGGACATTTGGGCCCAGGTTCTGGAGGAAGAGGAGGGAAAGGTAGGGACCCCCCCCAGCACACACCCTGCTCCTGGCCCCAGCTCCCCCTGACGCTGCCTGCTCTGCAGCCCCCAAGCTGGCCGTGAGGACGCCCCTGAAGGCGGTGGAGGCGGTGGAGGGTGGCGAGGTCACCTTCTCTGTGGACCTCACCGTGGCCTCAGCGGGCGAGTGGTTCCTGGACGGGCAGGCGCTGAAGGCCAGCAGCGTGTACGTGATCCGCTGCGACCGCACCCGGCACACACTCACCATCCGGGAGGTGCCGGCCAGCCTGCACGGCGCGCAGCTCAAGTTCGTAGCCAACGGCATCGAGAGCAGCATCCGGGTGGAGGTCCGAGGTAGGCAGGTAGCCTGGGACCCTGAACCCTGCTTCCTCCAGGGCAGGGGCTGGGCCGGGGGTCACCAGGGTGGAGGGTAGGGTGGCAGGTGCTCAGGGAGTGCGCCCCAGGCCGGCTGGTGGCACAGTCACTGTGTGCATGTGTGTGTGCCTGTGTGTGCATGTGTGCCTATGTGTGTACGTGTGTGCCTCTGTGTATGTGCCTGTGTGTGCGCGTGCGTGTGTCTGGGCTCTCGTGGGGCGGGCAGCAGGCCGGGCTGCTGTGCAGATGGGGGCAGGGCCAAGGGGCCTGATGGCCACACCTCATCTCTCTCCCATCCCTTTCTCTGTGTCCACCCGTGTCTCCTGGTCCCCTCCCTGGCCCATTCCCCACCCCCACCCCGTCTGCCAGGCCCGGCCCCAGGCGCCCCAGGGCTTCCCAGCAGCAAGCCACCAGCCGCGGCCGCCCGGGAGGTGCTGGCCCGGCTGCACGAGGAGGCGCAGCTGCTGGCGGAGCTGTCGGACCAGGCGGCGGCGGTGACCTGGCTGAAGGACGGCCGCGCGCTGCCCCCAGGCCCCAAGTACGAGGCGCAGGCGTCTGCGGGGCGCAGGGTGCTGCTGGTGCGGGACGTGGCGAAGGACGACGCCGGCCTCTACGAGTGCGTCAGCCGCGCCGGCCGCCTCGCCTACCAGCTGTCGGTGCAAGGTGAGGGCCGCGGGCGGGCGGGGTCCTCGCCCTCTGTCCCCGTGCTCTGGGCAGGGGAGGCCGTCGTCCCACCCTGCTGGGCAGTGGGGCGGGCCCAGTGCTGGAGGAGGAAGACTTCTTGGTGGCGGCCCCCGGGGCGGGCAGCGAGGCCCAGGCGAGACTGGACAGGGTCTCCGGTCTGGGGAGGGTCGCGGTGCCTGCTGGCCGCCGTGGCCGAGCACGGTCCCTGACCCCCTGGTGTCCTCACAGGCCTCACGCCCTTTCTGCACAAGGACACGGCGGGCGGCCGTGTGGACGCCGTGGCCGGGGGCCCGGCCCAGTTCGAGTGCGAGACCTCGGAGCCCCATGTCCGAGTGCGCTGGTACAAGGACGGGACCGAGCTGGGTGGCTCCTGCCAGCGCTTCTCGCAGGAGGACGTGGGGACACGGCACCGGCTGGTGGCAGCTGCAGTCACCAGGCAGGATGAGGGCACCTACTCCTGCCGTGTGGGCGAGGACTCCGTGGACTTCCGGCTCCGGGTGTCTGGTGAGCACGCCTGTGTGTGTGTGTGTGCATGTGCACGCATGCGCACGTGTGCATGCATGCATCTGTGCGTCTGTGCATGTGTGCACATGTGCATGTGTGCATGCCTGTGTACGCATGCGTGTTATGCATGCGTGCACATGTGCACGTGTGTGCGTGCGTGCGCCTGTGCATGTGTGTACATGTGCATGCATATGTGTGCCTGTGCATGTGTGCCTGTGTGTGCGTGTGTGTGCCAGTGTGTGCGTGTATGCACGTGTGTGTGTCTGGGCTCTCGTGGGGTGGGCAGCAGGCCTGGTTGCGTGCAGCACAGTGACACTGACCTTCCTAGTGCCACTTTTCTTCAGCAGACGGTTGGGGCGGTTGCATCTCTCTTTGGGAAAAGAAATGACACAGAAAATTAATGCTTTTGTGGGTGAAGGATGCGAATATGGAAAATAAAATGACAACATGTAAATGAGGAGCGCCAAGCATATATTTGGCTTTGCTCGGGCTGTAGGAGAACCTTTTCCCTCTCCCCAGAGCCCGGCCGCTGCCGGTGTCTAATCTGTGCGTCCGGGTCATCCCCAGGCCTCCAGGCCCTTTTGCTTACCGTGACCGGGCCGGCTGGGCTGGGCCCCGCACACACCCCCAGTCCCAGGCCTGGGCACATGCCCGGGAACTTTGCACTGGTGCCTTCCAGAGGCCGGTGCCCCATTTTACACATGAACATTTAAATGTCTCCGTCACCACTGCGGAGATGCCTGTGAATCTGAACTCTCGCCGCCTCCACATTGCCCTAACGACAGGCCTGTGGCTGTAGAAAGCAACCTTCGAGGCCAGGAGGGTCCCTGGGGGAGAAAGTGTGCCCCGACTGTCCCCACGGCCAGGCTGCCAGGCCATCGTGGTGGTTGCCCGAAGGCACGTTGTGTCACCCTCCGCACACACACCCGGGTCCTCGCCTGGGCGGGGCTGGCGTCCCACCCGCCTCTGCTCCACCGCAGCTGAGCACCCGGACCACAGAGGACCCCGTGGCGGGACCTTGGTTGCCTCGGGGACCTTGGTTGCCTGGGACCCAGAGCCCGTTATTAAAGGAGGAAAACTTGGAAACCTGGCTTGGCGGGGCCTCTCACAATGCATCCCTCCCCGTCCGTCCCCAGAGCCCGCGTTGGTGTTCGCCAAGGAGCAGCCGGAGCGCAGCGAGGTGCGGGCCGAGGCGGGGGCCGGCGCCACGCTGAGCTGCGAGGTGGCGCAGGCGCAGACGGAGGTGACGTGGTACAAGGACGGGAAGCGGCTGAGCCCCAGCTCCCGAGTGCGCGTGGAGGCGAAGGGGAGGCAGCGGCGGCTGGTGGTGGCGCAGGCGGGCGTGGCGGACGCCGGGGAGTACAGCTGCGAGGCCGGGGGCCAGAGGGTCTCCTTCCGCCTGGACGTGGCAGGTGGGTGCCAGGCCGGGCAGATGTTCAGGGACCCTTCACGTCAGCGGTGAAACTCGGGGCACAGGCCACGCCTGGGCAGCCTGAGGTGCAGGGAGGCCCTGGCAGCGTCCCCCTCTGTGGCCCAGAGCCGTGTCCCCAGCTCTGCCTGGTGGCTCCCGGGCCAGTGTCGTCCTGTCACACAGCAGAGCAGGCCGTGGCTGAGCTCGCCCCAGTGCGCCCCGGTGTGGCCGAGCCGGGCGTGGTGGGGACGGTGGGTGGCGTGTGCGGGGTCTGGGGTCGCGTCTGAGGAGGTCTGGTGACCCCTGTGTGGTGTCCGGGGATGCGGAGAGGGGACGTGCGTGACTGGACAGCAGGGCCTGCAGGTGGCAGGAGCCCGTGTGCCCGCCCGTCCCTGTGTGCTGGCCCCTTGGTGATCTCCACGTGTCCATCTGTCCTTCCCTGCTCACGTCCTGCCTTGGTCCTGTCCACCCTGTCACTGAGCCTGGGCACAGGAGACCACACGTAGCTCAGCCACCGCTCTCCTGAGGACGCCCCTGGCACTGAGCTGGCTCGTGATTGGTTATCCTGGCACTGAGCTGGCTCGTGATTGGTTATCCTGGCACTGAGCTGGCTGGTGATTGGCTACCCTGGCACTGAGCTGGCTCATGATTGGTTACCCTGGCACTGAGCTGGCTCATGATTGGCTGCTCTGGCACTCGGCTCTCTGACCTTTCCTGTGTGCCCTTGGCTAGCGAGGATCAGAATGCAGCAATAATCAATCAGATGAGAGCACCAGAACAGCGGCCTCAGAAGCAGCTCTGTGTGTGACTGCTGTATGTCCCTTCACTTACGACTGTTTGTGCGGTGCTGCTAGCGTGCGGTGCAGGGGAAGGGCCGTGCGTCCACAGGTGGTGCTGAGGTCATTGCAGCCTGGGAAACACAGAGTAGACTCGGACGCTGCTCACGCACACGGCAGTCCGCCCCGGGGGTAGAGACCCGCGCGGAAAGGCAAAAGAAGCTCTTAACAGGCGATGGAGATTCTCTAGTGACCTCAGCACAACAAAAGGTCTCACAAGCAGAACACAAACGCGCCACCCACAAGGGACAAACTGGTCTATTGCCTGTATTACCTGTGTGTCCCTCCCCGTCCGTCCCCAGAGCCCGCGCTGGTGTTCGCCAAGGAGCAGCCGGAGCGCAGCGAGTGCGCGGCCGAGGCGGGCCGGCGCCACGCTGAGCTGCGAGGTGGCGCAGGCGCAGACGGAGGTGACGTGGTACAAGGACGGGAAGCGGCTGAGCCCCAGCTCCGAGTGCGCGTGGAGCGGAAGGGCAGCGGCGGCTGGTGGTGGCGCAGGCGGGCGTGGCGGACGCCGGGGAGTACAGCTGCGAGGCCGGGGGCCAGAGGGTCTCCTTCCGCCTGGACGTGGCAGGTGGGTGCCCTGGTGGTATGAGCAGTGCTTGTCCCGGTAGCAGAGTGTCAGCTGTCAGTTTGCACCATGCGTGACAGGTGACAGCAGGTACTGTCCTTTGCTCCTGGCCTGCAGGGGATGTTGCACCTCGTAGCAGCACTTTGAAAGAACTCTGCCTTCCGGGTGCACAATCCGAAAGCAGTTTGCACGGTCCGTGTTCTATTTATTTAGTGGCAGAAGTCTTCTCCTAGCTTTTGGTTAAGCCTTTGGTTAGACCTTTGGTTTTTGTCTTCATTTTTAGGGCGCTATGTTGTGCCTTTAATTTAGGGCCCATGGTTGCAGATGGCCACGGGGTGCCTTGGCTCCCGTGAGAACCCACCTGTGTGTCCCAGCCCCAAGTCAGGCTTTGTCCTCTCCCCTGGGGGGCGTCTGTGGGTGGGGACATCTTCCTTTTATTGTTCCTCCTGGCCCAGAGCTTAACCTGCAGTTTCTGTCTACCTGAAGGTGGGGGGAGTCAGAGAAGGTGCTAGAAGTTCTCACTTGACTGGTGTTGCTCTCAGACGACCCCAAGTCTGGCTCAGCAGGGTTTAGAGCGACCCCTCTTGGGCGTGGTTGTGCAGCAGCCCGGCGCCGGCCCGCTGAGCGTCTGCACTGGCCAGGCCGTGTCTTCCTCTGGCCTAGCGGCTCCTAAAGCTTGGCGACATGTTGACCTTCTCCTTGCTGAAGACGCTGTCTACTGCTGCGGCCAACCCCTCCCTCCTGCCATCTTGCAGCTGGCCGGAGGGAACGCCCCGGCAGTCTGGGTTTGCCTGCTGCTTTGGTCCTGCCGTGGTGTCCAGGTTTCCCGTGGGGGCAGAATGCCCGGCCGCCGGCGGCTGTGGGAGCCGGTCCTGCTGCCCACGCCTGGCGCCGGCTCGCGGCGCTACCCGGGTGAGGAGCTGGGCCCGCTTCCCGCGACGTGCACACGCTCACTACCGCCAATCTCGGGCCACACGCGTGGCCCTGCCGCATGTGAGGTTGTCGCCAGTGTGCAGGCTCGGGCCACTGAGGCCTGTGGTGCCCGTCCGTAAGTGATCTGCGTGTCCCTGGAGGCCCTGTCGTGCTTGGGTGGAAGGAGAAGCCCTCTCCCCTCTGTGCTTGTCAGTGGGGCCGGGCGGTGCCCACAGCGCGGCTCTCTCCAGAGAGGTCCTTTCCCCAAATCCTTCTTCTGTGTCTGGTATGTGGCAATCTGTTGCCAACAGTTCAAATTTGCAAAACTAGTCATTATTTTATCATTATCTTAACTTTTTTATTTAAACATTTGTTTTTTAGAGGCAGGGTTTTGCTCTGTAGTCCAGGCTGGACTGCAGTGGTGCAATCATAGCTCGCAGCAGCCTTTAACTCCTGGGCTCAAGGGATCCTCCTGCCTCAGCCTCCCAAGTAGCTGGAGCCACAGGCAGGCACCATGATGCCCAGCCAATTTTTCTTAAATTTTGTGGAGATGGGGGTCTCTCTATGTTGCTTAGGCTGGTCTTGAACTACTGGCCTCAAGCAATCCTCCCTCCTCGGCCTCCCTGAGTGTTGGGATTACAGGTGTGAGTCACTGGGGCTGGCCATTTATTTATTGTTGGTTATTTTTGTTGGTCTTTGCTTTTTGCTAACGTTTTGGAAGACCTGTCTCTCTACCTGGCTTCCCACACCAGAGTCTCATATTTACTCTGTGTTGGTGCCTGCGTCAAAATTTCCAGTGTAGTGTCCGCTTACATGCGGCAAGTTGTCCTTAATGTTATAAAGTTAAGGACGCCCTGGCTCCAACAATTTTTAAATAATGACATTCGAGGTGTGATGTATGCACAGATCTTAAGTGCACGCTCGAGGGATTCTGGAACATGTAGCTGCCTGCCAGTCACCACGTCCCCGCTAACATACAGAGTGTTTCCATCCCTCCAGCAAGTCACGTGTGCCCTCCGTCCTCCCTCCTGCCCCCGACAACGGCGGTTCTGATTTCTGTCCCCATAGGTTAGTTTTGTCTTTTCGGCAATGTCATTTAAACGTTGCGAAGTGCACAAAGCGCCCGCACGTTGTTGCTGGGCCTTGGAGGATCCGACTCTCGCAGCTTCCGTGTGTCCGCTTCTCTTACGCAGACCCGAGTCTGGCCGGTGAGGCCCCGTTCTCCCGTCACAGACGGCCCGTCCTCAGCGGGCTCCAGTCTGAGCACCCCCTGAATCTAAACTTTGGTTTCCATGGTCTGGAGTCTCTGTCCCTACCTCCTCCCCTGTGGTCGCTCTCTTCCCGAGTTGTTTCCGTGGGGGAGGGTGTTTCCCCCAGGGAGTAGTAAACGCTACAGGCTCTGTTCTCAGGAGTCTCAGAATGTACCTTTCTCCGTGTTCTGCAGCTGCTCAAAGCTAAGCATGAGGGAAGCCTAATTCCAGGGATGTAGCCGAGTAGACCCCACTGTCAATGAGGGCGTCACATATCCCATTCTAGTGGGTTTCGGACGCAGGGACCTTCTGAACAATCTGTCACAAGGAGACAGGCTCTGTCTAATTTTCTGTCATCCTGAGCATGTTACTTTTTCTTTCAATTGCCTATTGCCTCATGGTCACAAGATGGCTTCCACAGCTCCAGCCATCACGTTCAAGATGGGAAGAATGTGGAATGGGAGTGTATTCATTTTTTCTTTTGTTTTTGTCTGTTATTATTATTATTATTTTTACAGCTGTGTAACAAGTTATCACCAACTTAGCGGCTTAAAATCACACTCATTGAGTAGCTCACAGTTCTGTAAGTCAGAAGCCTGGGCAGGCATGGGGTGGCTGCGTTCTCTGCTCAGGGTCTTCTTGAAAAGTTGTATCACGTCTATTTGCTATGGTTGAAGGTTAATCCCCAATGCGACAGTGTTAAGAGCTGGTGCCGTGCAGGAGTGATTAAAGCTAGACAGCGTGATGGCAATCCACGGAGGTTTTGTGGGTTCCTTCTCTCCAAGTCTCACTGGAGTAGACCTGTCCCCAAACCAGAGCTCCGAGTCCTCCCAATCCCTCGGTGAGCCGCAGTCCAAAACAGCGCTGAGTGAGTTTTATTCTGCACCTGGTGATGAGGGGTTTCTACTTTAGGTTATGAATATGGTGGATTGCATTGATGGATTTTTTAAAAAAATCAATACAATCTGCCCTTTTACAGTGTACAATTCGGTGGTTTTCAGGTTGTGCAATCACACTACAGTCTAATTCCAACCCGAAAAGAAGCCCTATACCCATTAGAAGTTGCTCACGCCTGTGGGGAGAGCAGTCTTGACTGCTCTGAGTTCTATAAAAGTCTGTATTCCTTATCATGTGTGGTCACTGAGGCCTCCGATCAGGTGGCTTCTTGGCCAGCTAATGACCGGACCATGCATGATATCCTTAGGTGTCTGTAACAACGAGTCTCCCAGTCTTTGGCAAGGGGCTCTGTGTGAGTGTTAGCCCCTGCGTTCAACACTCAGCCAGGCAGACTAAAACTTCACTTCTGCCTTTAATTCATGCCTTCCCAGAACCTTAAGGTTAGCCCGATATGTGAGCTTTAGGCTTCTCGGTTGTTGCCCGAGTATGCACACAGCCCTACGCATGTGTGTCTTTCCCAGTGCCCGGGAGCGGGTCAGAGCTTTCCAAAGCCCCTGAGGGACACCTCCCTGTCCGGCTTTTCATTTTAAGCTTTTGGTCTGTTTTTTTGGCCACAATTGTTCTCCACTGCCTCAGGCAGCCCTGGCATTCAGTAGTTACCTCTGATTTGTTTCAACTAATGCCCCTGGGGAAAATGCAGTTTGTACTGAGTAAGCTTCTACTCAAGCCAAATAAAGACAGCCCTGTGAGTCAGGTTTTCCAGCAACCACTTTCAAATGGGTCAAAGAATGACAATTCTCTGAGAATGGGGTTTTGACAGCACCCTAGTCCATTGCATTGTCTCTGATGGCTGCCGGGGTGCTGGTTTCCATCGTGATTGTGGATTATTGTTTTTCAAAGCTACCTCAGAGCTAGAGGCAGGTAGGTATGAGAATTGGGTGAGTTAAAACACCACAAATCTTGCTGTTCTTACTGAGATTCAGCTGTTTTTCTTGAAGGTATATGCTCCTCAGATTGCTGTAAGCCTTTGTCTACTTTCCAGAGTTCTGAAAAAGCTGATTCCAACTTTTTTTTTTTTTTGCCAGTAGTTTCATTGCTTTTGTGGAGAAGAGATTTTTCAGAAGTTATTATTTCACCATTTTTGCTGACATTTCTGCCAGTGATTTTTGAATATTGAACCAGCCTTGCATTCCTGGGGTTACACCCACTTGTTTGTAGTGTGTGTTTTTATGTATTACTGGATTCAATTTGCTAATATTTTGTTGAGTATTTTTATTTTTATGTTAATGAGGAATTTTGGTTTGTCATTTCCTTATACTGTCTTTGTCTGGTGCTGGTATCTAGATACTGCTGGCCTCACAAAATGGGTTGGAAGGTGTTTCCTTCTCTTCTGTTTTCTGGAAAAGATGGTAGTAGAATTGATGTTATTTCTGTTACTTCTTTAATTTACATATATTTCACTGACTAAGCAAGTAAAGCCATCTGGGCCTAGAGATTTCTCTTTTGTAAGATTTAAATCATACAGAATTTATTTAGTAGTTATGGGACTATACAAGTTATCTGTTTCATCTTGGATGGGTTTGGTGATTTGTGATTTTTAGAGATTGGTCCATTTTGTCAAGTGTCTTTAGCTTATTTATGTACATGGAGTTGTGTGTAGTGTTCTCTTATCACATGTCAGCAGGGTCTGCAGGGTACCCCTTATTTTCCTACTAATGTTGTTAATTCATGTCTTTTTTTCTTTATTTGTCTTGGTAGAGGTTTATCAGTTTCATTGATCTTTTCAAGGAATGAGCTTTAAGTTTCATTGATTTTTCTATGTTTTTTCAATGTCATTGATTTCTGCTTTAAAGGGGGGGGCCCCCTTGGGGGCTCCAAAAAAAAATTGGGGGATTGGGGGCCCCCGCTGCTGGCACTCCGGCTTCTGACCTTTCCTGTGTGCCTTGGCTAGCGAGGATCAGAATGCAGCAATAATCAATCAGATGAGAGCACCAGAACAGCGGCCTCAGAAGCAGCTCTGTGTGTGACTGCTGTATGTCCCTTCACTTACGACTGTTTGTGCGGTGCTGCTAGCGTGCGGTGCAGGGGAAGGGCCGTGCGTCCACAGGTGGTGCTGAGGTCATTGCAGCCTGGAAACACAGAGTAGACTCGGACGCTGCTCACGCACACGGCAGTCCGCCCGGGTAGAGACCAGCGCCGCGAAGGCAAAGAAGCTCTACGGCGATGGAATTCTCCTAAGGCCTCAGCACAACAAAAGGTTCTCACAAGCAGAACACAAACGCGCACCCCACAGGGACAAAACTGGTCTATTGCCTGTATTACCTGTGTGTCCTCCCCGTCCGTCCCAGAGCACCCGCGTCGGTGTTTCGCAAGGAGCAACCGGAGCGCAGCGAGGTGCGGGCCGAGGCGGGGCCGGCGCCCGCTGAGCTGCGAGGTGGCGCAGGCGCAGACGGAGGTGACGTGGTACAAGGACGGAAGGCGCTTGAGCCCCAGCTCCGAGTGCGCGTGGAGGCGAAGGGCGGCAGCGGCGGCTGGTGGTGGCGCAGGCGGGCGTGGCGACGCCGGAGTACACGCTGCGAGGCGGGGGCCAGAGGGTCTCCTTCCGCCTGGACGTGGCAGGTGGGTGCCCTGGTGGTATGAGCAGTGTTGTCCCGGTAGCAGAGTGTCAGCTGTCAGTTTGCACCATGCGTGACAGGTGACAGCAGGTCTGTCCTTTGCTCCTGGCCTGCAGGGATGTTGCACCTCGTAGCAGCACTTTGAAAGAACTCTGCCTTCGGGTTGCACAATCCGAAAGCCAGTTTGCACGGTCCGTGTTCTATTTATTTAGTGGCAGAAGTCTTCTCCTAGCTTTGGTAACCTTTGTTAGACCTTTGGTTTGTTGTCTCATTTTTAGGGCGCTATGCTTGTGCTTTAATTTAGGCCCATGGTTGCAGATGGCCACGGGGTGCCTTGGCTCCCGTGAGAACCCACCTGTGTGTCCAGCCAAGTCAGGCTTGTCTCTCCCCTGGGGGGCGTCCTGGGTGGGGACATCTTCCTTTTATTGCTCCTCCTGGCAGAGCTTAACTGCAGTTTCTGTCTACCTGAAGGTGGGGGGAGTCAGAGAAGGTGCTAGAAGTTCCATTGGACTGGTGTTGCTCTCAGACGACCCAAGTCTGGCTCAGCAGGGTTTAGAGCGACCCTCTTGGCGTGGTTGTGCAGCAGCCCGGCGCCGGCCGCTGAGCGGTCTGCACTCGGCCAGGCCGTGTCTTCTCTGGCCTAGCGGCTCTAAAGCTTGGGACATGTTGACCTTCTCCTTGCTGAAGACGCTGTCTACTGCTGCGCCAACCCCTCCTCCTGCCATCTTGCAGCTGGCCGGAGGGAACGCCCCGCAGTCTGGTTTGCTGCTGCTTGGTCCTGCCGTGGTGTCCAGGTTTCCCGTGGGGCAGAATGCCGGCCCGGCGGCTTGTGGGAGCCGTCCTGCCTGCCCACCGCTGGCCGGCTCGCGGCGCTACCCGTGTGAGGAGCTGGCGCTTCCGCGACGTGCACACGCTCACTACCGCCAATCTCGGGCCACGCGTGGCTGCCGCATGTGAGGTTTGTCGCCAGTGGTGCAGCTCGGGCCACTGAGGCTGTGGTGCCCGTCCGTAGTGATTCTGCGTGTCCCTGGAGCCCCTGTCGTGCTTGGTGGGAAGAGAAGCCTCGTCCCTCTGTGCTTGTCTGGGGCCGGCGGTGCCCACAGCGCGGCTCTCTCCGAGAGGTCCTTTCCAAATCCTCTTCTGTGTCTGGTATGTGGCACATCGTTTGCCAACAGTTCAAATTTGCAAAACTAGTCCTTATTTTATCATTTATCTTAACTTTTTATTTAAACATTTGTTTTTAGAGGCAGGGTTTTGCTCTGTAGTCCAGGCTGGACTGCAGTGGTGCAATCATAGCTCTCGGCAGCCTTTAACTCCTGGGCTCAAGGGATCCTCCTGCCTCAGCCTCCCAAGTAGCTGGAGCCACAGGCAGGCACCATGATGCCCAGCCAATTTTTCTTAAATTTTGTGGAGATGGGGGTCTCTCTAGTTGCTTAGGCTGGTTTTGAACTACTGCCTCAACATCTCCCTCCTCGGCCTCCTGAATGTTGGGATAACAGTGTGAGTCACTGGCTGGCCATTTATTTATTGTTGTATTTTTGTTGGTCTTTGCTTTTTGCTAACGTTGTAGAAGACCTGTCTCTCTGCCTGGCTTCCCACACCGGAGCCTCATATCTACTCTGTGTTGGTGCCTGCGTCAGAATTTCCAGTGTAGTGTCCGCTTACATGCGGCAAGTTGTCCTTAATGTTATAAAGTTAAGGACGCCCTGGCTCCAACAATTTTTAAATAATGACATTCGAGGTGTGATGTATGCACAGATCTTAAGTGCACGCTCGAGGGATTCTGGAACATGTAGCTGCCTGCCAGTCACCACGTCCCCGCTAACATACAGAGTGTTTCCATCCCTCCAGCAAGTCACGTGTGCCCTCCGTCTTCCCTCCTGCCCCCGACAACGGCGGTTCTGATTTCTGTCCCCATAGGTTAGTTTTGTCTTTTCGGCAATGTCATTTAAACGTTGCGAAGTGCACAAAGCGCCCGCACGTTGTTGCTGGGCCTTGGAGGATCCGACTCTCGCAGCTTCCGTGTGTCCGCAGAAGCTGGGACAGACCCGAGTCTGGCCGGTGAGGCCCCGTTCTCCCGTCACAGACGGCCCGTCCTCAGCGGGCTCCAGTCTGAGCACCCCCTGAATCTAAACTTTGGTTTCCATGGTCTGGAGTCTCTGTCCCTACTTCCTCCCCTGTGGTCGCTCTCTTCCCGAGTTGTTTCCGTGGGGGAAGGTGTTTCCCCCAGGGAGTAGTAAACGCTACAGGCTCTGTTCTCAGGAGTCTCAGAATGTACCTTTCTCCGTGTTCTGCAGCTGCTCAAAGCTAAGCATGAGGGAAGCCTAATTCCAGGATGTAGCCAAAGTAGACCCACGTGTGCGGGGTCTGGGGTCGGGTCTGAGGAGGTCTGGTGACCCCTGTGTGGTGTCCGGGGATGCGGAGAGGGGACGTGCGTGACTGGACAGCAGGGCCTGCAGGTGGCAGGAGCCCGTGTGCCCGCCCGTCCCTGTGTGCTGGCCCCTTGGTGATCTCCACGTGTCCATCTGTCCTTCCCTGCTCACGTCCTGCCTTGGTCCTGTCCACCCTGTCACTGAGCCTGGGCACAGGAGACCACACCTAGCTCAGCCACCGCTCTCCTGAGGGCCTCAGTGGCATTCAATTGGCTCGTGATTGATTGCCCTGGCTCTGACTGGTCGTGAATTGGCTGTCCTGGCCCTGGCTAGCTCATGATTGGCCGGCTGCCCCTGGGGCTGAGCTTGGCCCATGATTGGTGCCCTTGCACTGGGCTCTCTTTCCCTGGAGCCCGTGGCCAGCCGAGGGGCACAGGGTCTCCTGGGGTGTGGTGCTCGCAGGGGGCCGCATCCTGAGCCGGCCCGTGCCTCTGTCCAAGCTCTGTGTGGCGGGGAGCGGCGACGGAGTCATGCGCCGAGCCCGGCTGTGAGGCTGTTGTGGCAGAGGCCCGCGTCGCGCCTGTCCGCACAGAGCAGCTCGCAGGTCCCCGCACCACGCGGGCCCTGCGCCCCAGTGCCCAATTGACAGCGTCGGGGGCCACACGGACGAAGACATAGGCGGCGGCAGAGGAGCGGCCACCAGAGCACTGAATAGATAGGGCATGCGTGCTGGGGCTGGCGTCACAAAAATTCATCTGACCCCGGTGTCGCCTCCCCGTCCGTTCCCGCAGGAGGCCCGCGCTTGTGTGTCTCCGCGGAGCAGCCGGAGCACAGACGGTGCGAGCCGAGGCCAGGGCCGGGCCATCGCTTGAGCTTGCGACCGGTGGCGGCAGGCGCAGCGACGGAACTGGTTGACGTCCGGGTACAAGGACGGGAAGCGGCTGAAGCCCCAGCTCCGACGTGGCGCGTGCGAGGCGAAGGGTTTGAGGCAGCGGCGGCTGAGGTGGTGGGGCAGGCCGGCGTGAGCGACGCCGGGGCGGTACAGCTGCGAGGGCTGGGGTTCAGAGTGGATCTCTTCCGCGCCTGGACGTGGCAGGTGAGTCCTCTGGGGCATCGGTCCTCGTTGTCAGGAGCTGGTGCATGAGTAGCGCGAGCTCGGTCCACGCTGGCCTTGCTTTCCCTCAGAGATTCTTCCCTCTGCTCCTGTCCCCACGTCCCACGTTCACATTTCCATTTACGCCTCTGGGCCAGGGGAGGCTGGGGCGGGAAGGTGGTTGCTGCAGAGGGAGGGGCCCGCGGGGTCTGGTACCCTCCAAGGCGGTTCGCACGCAGGATCGCCAGTCTTCAGCGTTCCCAGACGTCTCCGCGGAACTTTCTGCTTTTAATCTTGTGTCAGGACTGTGTTCCAGCCCTGTGGGCTTAAGGGGAGACCCTGGATTCTGCAATCGGGGTGTGGACTCTCTTCTGCGGGATGTTCGGGGCCCCAGTGCGCTAGCCACTGCACCGGCATGGCTGGTTCTTTCTAGTGAGGGGTCGATTCATTCAGCGGGGGAGGTGGCATCAGCCAGCCACCTCACAGCAGGGATCACCCTTTAGATAACAACACTGTGCGTTGTAGGTGTCCAGGGGCGGCACATCTTTTCCCCTTTGTTGAATGGATATAGGAGTGTCATGCTGGTGGACGCCTGCAGCTAGCAACCAATCTGGAAACGTTTTATTGCAAATGTCTGTGCATAGCGGAAAACAGCGGTGAATTGGAGTAGATATGTTCCTATGATACCACACTGTGTAAGGGCTGCACTGATTTGTTTGTGTAAAAGGAATTTTGTTATATTTTCTGTTCTTATAGTTTTTTGAAGACAGAGTCTCACTCTGTTGCCTGGGATAGAGTGCCATGGTGTCAGCCTAGCTCACAGCAACCTCAAACAACTGGGCTCAAACGATCCTCCTGCCTCAGCCTCCCAAGCAGCTGGGACTATAGGCACACGCCACCATTCCCGGCTAATTTTTTTCTATATTTAGTAGAGATGGGGTCTCACTCTTGCTCAGGCTGGTCTCAAACTCCTGAGCTCAAGAAATCTTCCCGCCTTGGCCTCCCAGAGTGCTAGGATTATAGGCATGAACCAGTGTGCCCGGCCTACTGCATGTGTTTTGCCACTCTTTTAGTTTTAACCTGCCTATATCATATTTGAAGTGTGCTTCTTGTAGATAGCATATGGTTGGGTCATTTTTAAAATGCAATTGACAATTTCTATGTTACTATGAATGTGTTTAGACCATTTTCATTTAATGTAATAATTGGTATGTTTGGATTCAGGTCTTGTTACTTTTTTTCTGTTCTTTTCCACATTTTTTGGTTCTTCTGTTTTACCTTTCCTGTCTGTATAAGGTTCTTTAGAATTTTTTTTAGTATTCTGTTTTAATTTATCTATTGTGAGATTTTTTTTTTATTGCATAGGGATTGCACTTAACATACTTAACTCTTCATCATCTACTTGGGATCAGTATGTTACTGATATGTTATAGTATGTTACTCCATTGGCATGTAGAACTCTTACCATCATATAGGTCCCCTTTACTCTCCTACCTTTAAGATATTACAGTAGTTGTCTTATGTATTATCTCTATATTC